TGTTAAACATCATGTTATTTTCTGCTGCCCAGTTGAAAACTTTATTAATATCTGCTTGTATTTTTTCACCGTATCCAACAGAGGTAATTTTCATGCTGATTTTTGTGTCATCTGCAAAGAATGATATGAAGAGGTAACTTGTATTTGAGTCTATATCTGATATGAGAATAAGGAAAAGCAGTGGTGCAGGAACTGTATCCTGAGGTACAGGCTTTTAACTGCACTTGGACTCAATTTTATATGGCTGTCTGTTACTCTATGTGTTCGGTTCGATAGAAAACTGAGTATCCAGTATCCTACTTTACCATCTATTCCCATTGATCTCATTTTGTGTGTTATCACTCCATGGGTCACATTTATCAAATGCCTTTACGAAGTCCATGTATATCACATTTGCATTCTGTTCTTCTTCTAATGCCTCAGTGATTTTGTTGTAGTGGTAAAGTAGCTGTGAGAGGCATGATCTTCCCGCTCTAAATCCATGTTGGCCTGGGTTGTGGAGGTCATTGGATTCCCAGAAACTAGTGACCTGACTCCTGATCACTCTCTCAATTACTTTTATTATGTGGGACCTTAGTACCACTGGTCGGTTGCAACCCGTTCTTGCAAATTTAATAAGTCAATATTGACTTATTAAATATGTGCATAGGTGACATACTTAACATAATAGATACCCTTAAAAAGATTCATAGAAAACACCGACCTTACCTAACCTACTTAGTATGTTAAGATAAGCATCTTATTGCTTCGTAATTACAATTATTACCTAACCTATAACAGGTATAGGTTAAGTAATAATTGTAATTACGAAGCAATAAGACGCTTATCTTAAGATACTAACAAGGTTAGGTAAGGTCGGTGTTTTCTATGAATCTTTTTAAGGGTATCTATTATGTTTAGTATATCACCTATGCACGTAGTTAATAAGTCAATATTGACTTTACGAATTTGCGAGAACGGGTTGACTGGTCTATAATTCTTTGCCATGCTTTGCTCCCTTCCTTGTGTAGAGGGGCTATGTCTGCTGATTTAAGCGCATCTAGTATCTCCCCGTGTCCAAGCTCTTCCTCCACATTATACTGAGTGCCTGCGTTACTGGCACTTTGCATTTCTTTATGAATTTTGAATTCTATGAGTCTGGCCCCGGGGCTGAGTGCATGGGCATGTTGTCAATTTCCCTTTCAAAATCTGTCACACTCGTGTTGTTATCAGTTATATTTACAGGGGTTTGGATGTCACACATAAAGAAGTTGACCGGATCTTCCACTTTCATGCTGTTTATTGGAGTGCTAAACATGTCCTCATACTACTTTTTTAGGATTTTACTAATATTTTTGTCATCCTCAGTGTATGAACCTTCACTTGTACAAATACTGTAGGTCCAATACTGGCAGTGTTTTTTTTTTTATTTCGCATATGTGAAGAAATATTTGGGGGTTTTCTTTATTCCTTAAAATGCTTTCTGTTCTCGTTGTCTTTATTCAATCTGATACGAATGCTTCAGTCTTTGTTCGATTTCTTCAATCTCCCTGTTTACATTACAGTATTCCTTCTTTGTATGGAAAGTCATGTCTGCTTAAGTATTTCCGTTATTTTTTTCTTCTTTTGTAGTGTCATCTGCGATCTTTTTCTACGTGGGACCTCTTTCTGGCTTTCCTCAAAGGATTCCTCAAAGGCCGGGCTTGGGTAGAAGATCTCCCAAAACTCTCTCCATGTATGCTCTCCGCGTATGCTCTCCATGTATGCTCTCCATGTATGCTCTCCGCGTATGCTCTCCATGTATGCTCTCCATGTATGCTCTCCAGGCAAAAATCGATTTTGAGTTATTGAATAGAAACTAGTCAGAAGAAAAAATTAAATAAAACAAAATTCATAAGTTATCCCTATCAAGAATACTTAAATATACAGTACAGTATAGTGAAGGTGGAATACTGCAGTCTTAACTCTCTTCCTTGAACTACATACAGTATAAATACCTACATGCTTGCATGACAAACTAAAAGACTCAAAAGCCCCAAATGTGGATGGATTTCAATCCAAAGTCGTAAGGCAACTGGCAAATGTGCTATGCATACCACTGAAACTCCTTTTCAGAAAATCCCTGAACCAAGGGATAGTTCCCCTGAATTGGAAATACGTAAATGTTACCCCTATTTTCAAAAAAGGCAGAAAGAGCTTGGCAGAAAACTACCGTCCAATCAGCTTGACATCACACATCTGCAAGTTCATGGAGAGAATCCTAAGGAAGGAAATCATACAACATCTCACAGAGAATATCTTGTAAAATCAAGGCAACATGGGTTTGTTAAAAAAATAGATCATGCCTTACAAACCTGTTCACATTTCTGGAAACGGTAACCAGCTATTCAGACAAAGGACTTCCAGTAGATGTAGCTAACATGGACTTTGCTAAAGCTTTTGACAAAGTACCACATGAGACTGGCAAGGAAATTACAGGCACATGGAATAAATGGGAAAATACTAGAATGGATAAAACAATGGTTTAAAAAGAGAAAACAAAGGGGCGTGCTAAATGGGAATGAATCTGACTGGGAAAATGTGCTTAGTGGGGTGCCACAGGGGTCCATTTTGGGGCCAACCCTTTTTGTCATATACTGTACATCAATGACATAGATGAGAATATTACAAACCACATCATCAAATTTGCAGATGAGACTAAGATCTATGGTAAAGTGGGAAGTGAAAATTATAGACAGACCTTACAGAGAGATCTACATGAACTCCACAAATAGTCAAATGACTGGCAAATGCTTTTTCATGACTACAGTAAATGCAAGACCTTGCATGTGGGGCATAACAATCCACATCACAACTACCAAATTGACAACACTACCTTACAATGGATAGATGAAGAAAAGAATCCTGGAGTCAGAATCCATTATTCACTAAAATTTGCACAAGTGGGAGTGGCATTAAAAAAAGCGAACCAAACCCTGGGAATAATCAAGCGTACCTTTACCTTAAAGGAAAAGAAAGTAGTCGTTCAGTTGTATAAGTCTCTGGTGCTCCCTCACCTGGATTATTGCATCCAAGCATGGAGACCTTACCTTCAGAAAGACATAGCTGCTCTGGAGAAGGTGCAACATTGGGCAACAAAAATCATCCCAGAGCTTAATCATCTCTCATATCAGGAATGGTTGAGAGCCACAGGGCTAACAACACTGCAAACCAGGCATGACAGGGCAGACCTCATTGAAACCTGAACAATACCTGAAAATACTGAACAATTTGGAAGATGTCGATCCGGACAATTTCTTCAAAAGGTCAGATGTAACACGAATGAGGAGCAATGGTTTCAAGCTAAACAAGCCACAATAGGACAGAATACAGATGCTTTTTCACCCATAGGGTTGTAAAGCTGTGGAACTGCCTACCCGCCGAAGCGGTAAACACTAAAACTCTGCTGGGCTTTAAAATATAGCTGGAAAAGATCATCAGGGCAAATGGGGAAACCTTTGACAAGCCACCGGCTACCTGTCCTCATTGAGGCCACGAGTGTTAGTGCCACTTAGGTAAATTCAGGTAAATATCCACTCTAAATCACCCGAGGCCGGCTTCCTTCATGACCCAGCAGAAGGAAGAGTAATTACTAATTAATTAATTATATTATTATAATAATAAATATTGTAATTAATAATTATCACTGTTCCTTCTGTTGGGTCATGAAGGAAGCCGGCCTCAGGTGAAAGGGGGCTGTGATGATCTTTGTCTGGAACCCATAGGTGTGGGGCTTGAATGTCCACCTCCTGGGGCTCATGCGGCCCAAGCTCTGCTTCAGGAGGCTCATTCTTGCCCTTGCTGGAGTGGTTCTTCCTCCGGCCCCAACCACAGCATTGTCTGGATTTGGAGTCCCTGTGCCTTCTTTTACCAACTTTGAGGTAAACTCTGGAACTGGAGCCCCTAGAGCAGTTCTTTGTAACCTTCAAGCTTGTTCCAACAGTTCCTGCGATGGCACTGGAACCAATCATATTGGCGTTTGATTTTCCATTGGAGGCTTTCGGCGCTGTGGAGAGAGGAGACCAGCTGCATGGGTGACAGCTTCTCCCCTGTATCAACCTACCCTGGCTTTGCACCCTAGAGAGAAGCCACTCCAGACTGACAACCAGAGCGCAACTCCATAGTCTCCTGAGACTGATGGATGCCTACTACTAAGTTAGCGTAATAATTGGGACTGATTAAAAGTTCTAAATCTGTATTTTCTAGAATGCAGGTGAGAAAAAAATAATAATTTACACATGGAAAATATTTAGAGGCACTGGTTCCAAATCTGAACACAGAGATTAGATCACATGAAATCAGTAGGCATGGCAGGATGTGCAAAATAGCCCCAATTCAAAAGCAGAGGTGTAATAGTTACACTGAGGGAGAACTTTATCAACATCAAGGGCCCAAGACTTTTCAACACATTCCCACTACACGTAAGGAGCATAACTGGCCAGCTTCTGACAGTGTTCAAGAGATAACTCAACAAACACTATCCAAATCACAGCCTGATCAGCCAGGCTGTGATTCATACATCAGGCTGCAAGCAGCCATGTCCAACACCCTGGTTGACCAGTCCAGCAACAAGGAGGCCAGGTCAGAGATTGAGTTAGAGGGCCACCGATCCTTGGAATCTCCACAAGGTAGGTAAGGATAAATATGTAATAATGCACATACTGTACACATGTTATGTACTGTACTATAATGTGCTACATTCTCATGATGTTATAAATAGTACCTGCCACAGGGAAGAACTTAGAAAGTTTGTAGGTTTTGATTGTTTACTTTCCTGCACCATGTATTCCTCTTTATTGATTTCAGTACAGGATGTGATTACCTATTTGTAATTACAGTACCAACTAATAGTTACAGGAAGAGAGTTCGGTTCATGGTGTCCCATCTTCATTATAGTGTGTCTGCAATTTGTGTGGAATCAAAAGGTGTAATTTCACATGTACATATTTGTAAATTTTCTAAACACGTGGGGCAAGGTTTACATGTACGCAAGTTGGCTAGAGTTGAGGCGATCCATGGTGACGAGCATAAGACCTGCTGTTGTTATGTGTCGTGGCCGAGTGGAGCAGGTCTCCTCGCTCACATTCAGCTCAGTGGCACCTTGTCACTCCTCATGCTCTTCCTGTGTTTTACACACTCTTTGGATTATATTCTTGCTTCAAGACATCTTCCATATATTCTGCAAAGGTAATGTTGACTCTAGAAACTACTCAAAATCATCAAGAGGATAGTGGCAAGTGCACCACCCATCAGTTGTGTTCATAACACAACACAGCTTACTGCTCTCCTGACACAGTTACATCCTCGACGGGGTAAGGTTGTCTCCTCAACTGGGAGGGAATTATCAGGGGAAAGCACCAAGCCATAACGACTATATAGCACTTGGAAGCGGTCAGGATAAGGATTTGAGATGGGACGGGGGTAAGGAATGGTGTCCAACCACTTGGACGATCGGGGATGGAACGTCGACCTGCATGAACTGGGAGCTGGCAGGTGAAGTTGGGGGTGTTGTGTCAGGGGCTAGGAGAAGGGTGAGGGGTGACAGGGAGGAGGGTGACAGGGAGGAGAAGGGTGAGGGGTGACAGGGAGGAGGGTGACAGGGAGGAGAAGGGGTGACAGGGAGGAGGAGGAGGAGGGTGACAGGGAGGAGAAGGAGGTGGGTGACGGGGAGGAGGAGCATGAGGGTGACAGGGAAGAGGAGGAATATGAGGGTGACAGGAAGGAGGAGAAGTGTGACAGGGAGGAGGAGCATGAGGGTGACAGGGAGGAGGAGGGTGACAGGGAGGAGGAGAGTGAGGGGTGTATTATAACACAGTGTATACCAGTTGTGACTGGATATACTGTGACACAACTATATTAACCATTTGTACAAATGACACCATTTATTCATAAATCTTGTGAAGTAATCAATATATTGTTGGTGTGTAATTATATATATATATATATATATATATATATATATATATATATATATATATATATATATATATATATATATATATTAGTATATTTTGGTCGCAGTCTTTCCTGTAGACATATATTATTAAATATGACCGAAAAAGTAAGATTAATAATTCTAACACGAATTTTCTCGATCTTTCTTATGTTTCTTTTCACTGCTGATGGTAAATGAAAAATCAATTCTCCAAAATTCATTTTTATTTCTAGTCTGACGCGACACTTGAGCGTGTTTCGTAAAACTTATTACATTTTCAAAGACTTTAGTTTACACACACACACAACTCTAACTGAATAGAGCTTAAACATCTTCGATTTTTTATACCTGCATTTGGGTGAGGTGATATGTTACAACAGTTTTGGATGAAGTGAAAACAAACTTTCAACACAAGCCAGAACACGAAACAATGGGTATTGAAGGTAAGAATGGAAGTAATTGCAGAGGGCCTATTGGCCCATATTTCTTGATGCTTCTATATTGGAGCGGAGTCTTGAAGTGGGTAGAATATAGTTGTGCATTAATTGGCTGTTGATTGCTGGTATTGACTTCTTGATGTGTAGTGCCTCGCAGATGTCAAGCCGCCTGCTATCGCTGTATCTATCGTTGATTTCTGTGTTGTTTGCTAAGATTTGCTATCTTAGCAAACATCTAAGATTTGCTATCTTAGCTTATACATGTGCCCATCCGGGCTCAAGAAGGGTGCCTCTTTAGTACAAGCTTGGAGTAGTTTCCTTAGGATATTTTCTGGTATGTCAAGAGGAGTACAGGCTGGATCACGATACACTCTGTCGGCTATCATCCCGATTGTCTCGTCCACTGGTACGTTAGTGAACAGCGATTCTACGTCCAACGAGGCTCTTATCCCTGTGGCCCGTGTGCCCCGCAGTAAGTCAACAAATTCCTTTGGAGACTTCAGGCTGAAGGCGCAAGGAACATAAGGAGTCAGCAGGCCGTTGAGTCGCTTCGCCAGTCTGTACGTGGGTGTGGGTATCTGGCTAATGATTGGCCGAAGTGGGTTTCCAGGCTTGTGTGTCTTGACATTTCCATACGCATATCCAGGTTTATATTCCCCAATGATCTTTGGCAGGTGGAGTCCGGATTTCTTGGCGTTCACAGTTTCGATCAGTTTGTTGACCTTTGCTTTCAATTCGGCTGTAGTGTCCTTCGTTACCCTTTGGAACTTAATTTGGTCAGAGAGTATGAGGTTCACACTAAGGAAACGAACATAGGAATGTGCCTAAATGCCAAAAGCGACTGCCCAGATAGGTACAAGAGGAGTGTTGTTAACGCATATGTCGACCGTGCTCTCAGCCACAGCTCAGAATGGAAGCAAGTCGACGAAGAACTCTGTAGGGTAAGGCAGGTCCTAGTCAACAACGGCTTCTCCAATGGTTTCGTCGAAGACATCATAAGAAGGAAAGTGAAACGCCATGCAACCTCTGAAGAGACAACCAACACAACACCTATACCCCCTATTAGACTATTTTACAGGAACTTCTTTTCCACAGCTCATAAAACGGAGGAAAGGGTCCTGAAAGATATTGTTAATAGAAACGTTATCCCTACAGACAAAAATCAGAGGATACAACTGACGATTTACTATAAAACCAGAAAAATGGCCAGCCTACTCATGAGAAACTCTCCAGACACAAAACAGAACGCTTTAAAAGAGACTAACGTCGTCTATGCCTTCAAATGCCCTCTTGGGGACTGTAAGCTCAAAAAAACCCAGTATATAGGCAAGACAACAACATCTCTTTCTAGGCGTTTAACGATGCATAAGCAACAGGGCTCCATTAAGGAACATATAATCTCTTCCCACAACCAAACCATCGCCAGAGAAATCCTAGTAAACAACACAGAAATCATCGATAGATACAGCGATAGCAGGCGGCTTGACGTTTGCGAGGCATTACACATCAAGAAGTCAACACCAGCAATCAACAGCCAATTAATGCACAACTATATTCTACCCACCTCAAGACTCCGCTCCAATATAGAAGCATCAAGAAATATGGACCAATAGGCTTTCTACAATCACTTCTATTCAATACATATTGTTTCACGTTCTGGCTTGTGTTGATGAAATTAATACCTTATTAAATACCACCTCACCCCATCCACCTCACTCAAATGTAGATATAAACAAAATCGGAGATGTGTAAGTTCTATTCAGTTGTGTATGTGTTAACTAAAGTCTTTGAAAATGTAATAAGTTTTACGAAACGCGCTCAAGTGTCGCGTCAGACTAGAAATAAAAATGAATTTTGGAGAATTGATTTTTGAATTACCTCCAACAGTGAAAAGAAATGTACGAAAGATTGAGAAAATTCGTGTTAGAATTATTAATCTTACTTTTTCGGCCATATTTAATAATAATAATAATAATATATATATATATATATATATATATATATATATATATATATATATATTGGTGTATACTGACAGCAGGTTTTCTTTTAAACATGTCTCATTGAATATGGCCGCATATTCAGTATTTACTATCTTCTGATTTAGGGCTTCTATCCCTCTATTTTCCTAGCATCAGGGCTTAGCTGAAAGAGGAGTTCTCCAAAACTCATTTTTGTTAATTCAAGGTGAAGAAAAAAGTGAATTACTATAGAATGTATTACACTTATTTATACAATTTGCACAACGTTTCGAACCTCTATGGTTCATTCTCAAGTGAAATGAAATTACAGGACTCGTTGATTTATACCCGTATGGGATTAGGTGATAAGACAAGTACAATAAAGGTAAAAACAAGGGGGGACACATAGGGGATAAATGGGGGACAAAGCACATAAGAATAAAGGTAACTGCGGAAGGCCTATTGGCCCATACGAGGCAGCTCCTATTATACAAAGATTAATCAGGTGTAACTGGCCTGTTATGTTGAACAGTGTCTTCTGTGTTGGCATCGTTATGTTCTGGTCTTGTCCTTACTCTCATGGCGGGTAGAGTAAATAGTTCCGTGATTTGGGTGTTCATGGTAGGTTGTTCTATTCTTATGTGAATTGCTTCAAGAATTTGTAATCTTCTTGCATCTTGGGTTTTGTCTATTATACATGTATTTTTGTTCCACATTTCTCTTGTTAGGGTGATGTCATGGGCTTGTCTCATGTGATTCCTGGGGGCACCGGATGACATGTCAAACGCCTCGTCAGTTGGTCGACGTCATACTTAGATTGAAGGTTACATCCTTCATGGGGGCAAGTGTACATGTATACAACGCTTGACTGCTGTAGAGGGTTCTCCATCGGCTTCGGGCTGTTTTTGATAAGAGTTCGGAAGTCTTTTTGGTTTTGTAGAATATGATCAGGTCTATGTTTTGGTTAGGAGTATTGCTTTTTACCCCTTTACTGATTATTTCTTTCATTATTCTTTCCTCTTTTTTTATGTTCACTGTGCATGGTTGATTTGAAATGTAATTTTATTGGAGGTATTTTGGTTTCTGTTCTAGGTTCAGGATTATACCATCAGTCCTAGTGTCTTCTTATAGCAGCGTTTATTTCCGTGTTGCTATATCCGTTATTCACCAATACCTGAGTTATTCTTTCAAACTCTCTACTCATGTTGCTCCATTCGGAGCAGTGGGTAAGCGCTCGACGAATATAAGCATTGAGAACACTGGCTTTGTATCTTTGGGGGCACTCACTTCTACTGTTCAGGCATAATCCTATGTTGGTAGGCTTAGTATATACGTTGGTGCTTAAAGAGGTTCCTGTTTTTATTAGTACATCCAAGAATGGCAGACTGTTATTTTCACTATTTTCATGTGTAAATCGGAGTACTGACTCTCTTTCTAGATGGCTTTTTAGATCAATTAGTTCGTCTGAGTCTTTTACTATGACGAATATGTCATCTACATAACGGCAATATACGGTTGGTTTTTGTCTGCTACTGAAGATTTTGTCTTCGATGGTTCCCATATAAAAATTAGCAAATAAAACTTCTAAGGGGGAGCCCATTGCTACTCCGTCTATTTGTAGATACATGTCTCCTTGTGGACTGATGAAAGGGGCTTCCTTTGTACATGCTTCGAGAAGACTCTTCAAGTGTAGCTCGGGTATGTCTAATTTGGAGGTGCTCTCGTCTCTGTATACTGTGTCCAGTATCATTCCTATGGTTGTGTCGACTGGGACGTTGGTAAATAGGGATTCGACGTCCAGGGAAGCAATGATTCCATCGGGCTGAGAAGATTTTGTAGACCTGCC